ATTCTCTCTCTCTCTCTCTCTCTCTCTCTCTCTCTCTCTCTCTCTCTCTCTCTCTCCTTCTGTTTTTCAGAGAGTCTAAATTTCTTCATTAGTCCGACGTTACCTTTATCGGTGTATTTCTGCTTGTGTTAATTAATCCATCTAATGACGTCACAGCGGTAATTCGCACGAAACGAACAAATTTGCTGAAGATTCTTACGGACGGCCGAAAAGTTTCAAGGTCATCGTGCCTCCGTATCGACTTAGCTCGTATGGTAATTAAGCACGAAAGCGGAGCTTTCGTGACTGGCTGCGCTCACTATCGCCCCAGAAGACTTATTCGCGAGTTCTGCATGGGCTCGGCTGGGTCAGGGTAAATCACGTGACATCATAACAGGGTGTGGTGATTTACGTGAGGTTCTAAAAGCTTCCCTGCAGCGTGTGCAGCTTGCATTTACGACACGTCGAATTTTTATCCGCGCGAGGTCCAAAGTTATGAATTGGATTCCAAGAAGAATGTTTAGGAAAGGACTCTTGTTTTAATGATCGATGGTAAACATAGCAATAGTGAAACTAAATGATTTAAATAAAAACATTACAAGCAATTTAAATTTAATTACATACATTATATATAATATTGTGTCGATTATTTTTTAAACAAGTATATATTACATTTGAATAACTGTATATTAAATGTTTGCTTCAAATTTAATTGATATTTAGCTAATTCCACTTAAAAGAGAAATCAATTTTAGACTTGGCAAACAATTAACAGTTACATGACAGCTAGCATAATAATCCTAAAATAATATTTCAGAAGATTCGATAATACGATATATTACGATGTTAAATCAAATATTATTTAAATATCATCTGCTATTTTTTTCCAATCGTTTTTTTATTCAAATTTTATTCATGTTAATTGGTTCTCTTCAATTCAAGCTAACAAATTAATGTCGATAACGTATTGGGAAAAAATAAAAAAACCAATATGCTCTCTTTTATTGCTCATGCCGTGAGTCCATATGTAAATTGGGTCTCCTGAAAATATGAAAATAATCTTGTCGACGGGCAAGATATGGCTTGCGTGACGACAATCGCTTCCTTGCGATTTTACTTCCGTTTGCCACTTTGTTCCGACCTCGAAGATGTCGACTCGTATAGAAAACGCCGATTCTATTAATTTTAGAATATTTTTAGAAAACTAATGACATTTAATTGGAGGAAATTTAATCACAAATATTCAGTTTACTCATAATGTAGACGTAAATGTAAGATATCTCTATAGTAATCGAAAGGTAATCTCGATGCAAAATAATTCTGTTATCCGCTTATTCTATTATCTGATAGAAATTCAAAACTGCTGAAAAATCGGTGTAATGTATGCAGATGAGAAAGATGACTAAAATGCTACGTCACGTAACTATTCTGGTGTCACGTAACCATTTTGGAATTGACCTGGAATCGCCGAGCGGACACGTTCTGTCAGTCCCGATTCGTTTTACGATGGACAGCGGCGGTTTGTCGGACAGCTTTCGAATTGGATTAGAGCCATCGGAAGGTTTGAACCAAACCCTTCGCCTTTCGGTCTCTCCATTCCCATCGTAATGGTGGCCGACAAGCCGCAGGAGACAGAAACGATTCCGATAGTGCGGCGCTTGATCGGTCAATCCAATTTATGCCGATGCCAA